TTTCTTTTTATTAAAAATTCGTTTCAATTTCTAGTTTAACCTTCTAATGTTCATCCTCAATACGAATCACTTCAACGTACTTCGGGAAAAGGGCATCCCACGTTTAATACACAAATGCACCAAGAAATGGGAATGATGCAATCGCCAGAACAACAATTACATAGAGAGTATATGGAACGTTATATTGAACCATTACCATCCCCAGACTTGGATGATCCAAAAATACAAAAAATAAGAAACGAATTGAAAGCGGAAGTACAAAGAACAATTGCTAATGAGCTAGCAAAACTAAAATTATTTTTAAGTAAATATTATCTTAAAGATGTAATAAAGATTAATTAATAATTATCTAAATTACTTGTCTAAACATGATTAAAGATTAGCAATAATAAATTCATTGTGATTATAATCAATAAATGCCACTACTGTTATTCTAGTTTCATAAAAATTCACTTTTTTCATTTAAAAAATTATTGAATGTTTTTTTTTTTTTTACACTGTGATAACTTCACCAATGCATCCTGAACATCTTCCGATCTCAAAATCGCCACTAAATTGAGAAAATGAATATCGACGGTTTGCGCTATTTGGTGGTGATAGACTAGTACGACGAGTTGAATCATTCCGCTGATTTTGAACAGAATTGTAAACCGAATTAAATCGTCGACCAACATCACGCGTAGTATTGTTACCCACTAAAGAAGCTCCGTTGTTATACCCCATATTCTCTTTTAATGAAGCCAACTCGTTTTGAATTTTAACAACTTCTTGTTCCAGTTTTGTAGCTTTTAATTTTTCTTTTTCCACATCTTCAGTTAAATTTAATTTATCATTATTTATCTCTACAACTTTTGATTGTAATTCAGTCAATTGAGAAATCAAGTTTCGATTATCAGATGATAAACCATCATTTTTGGTTGTAATATCTTTAATCCGTTTTGTCAATTTTGAATTTTCTGATTGAGAAGTTTGCAATTCCGAGGAGAAATTGTCGTGCTCCCGATGCAATTCATCTACTACAGCTATTTTTAATTTTAGTTGTTCATTAACTTCAGTAAATTCGTTTTTCAAAGCTTCGAGCTCGCTTGATTTCTCCTCTAATTGTTGACTAAATCGATTCTTATCATCAGTTAGCGATTGGATTTGATTGGTCATAGATTCGAATTTTGTCATGGTTTCACGTGATTCACGTTCGATGACCAAAAGCTTGGTTTCTTTTTCAGAGAGTTGTTGCTCCGCATTAGTTAACAAATGTCGTAGATTTGATAA